GTGGAATATCTTTGGGAATTTCAAAGCATCCCTCTGATCATGTATTTATCTCAGGAATGCTATGTCAGAAATCACAACTCTCCTCATATCTTAAGTATTATCAACTTCCAAGGAATAGCTGGAAAGTTTAGAGTAACAGCTACATGAATAAAACCTTGCTGAAAGGCTGCCAGGTTGTGGGCCTTTGTGAATGCAAAGGTGTTTGTGTTCATTCCCATGCCAAAATTCTTGCTCTTATCTAATTTGAAGATCCTCTCTGATGATTAGTGAATGCCAGGAATTTATCTTGATAAAGTTCAAGGACTGGTCTGGCTTTTCAACTGGATCCTTAGGGACTAAAGTGGTAGGCTGAAATGCTCTTTTTTCCTTTAGTGAACTATTTGTATGTTAAATAAAATAGCATTTGTGTGAGGGTTTGTGATATTTGAAACTGATATAATACTGAAATGGAACTTCTCAACTTTATTGATCTGGAAGGCATTGTTACTATTTGCTTATTGCCAGTAAATTAAAAAAAACTTTGAAATGAGTATCCCTTGTTCAGGGGAAAGAAAAAATCCAGCAACAGTATTTTCATTTGTTCTGTGTGAGACTTTAGGAAAATTACTTCTTTCTCATTCGTAAAATTAGCATAATAATATGTAGTACTAACCTCAAAGGTTGTCATAAATATAAATATGGTAATTTGTGTATGTTCTTAAGCACGGTGCCCCACAAATATTAAGTATTCATAGTGAGTTCATAAAGAAAAAAATGATAATAACAATTTTTATCTCTTCAGTATTTGGTTTATAATTGACAATTTGGGAAACTAGCTTGCATAATTGGTTGTCTGTCTTTCAAATTCCTTATGCTAAAAAGTTTGAAGCACTTTCTGCTAAAATTGATGTAGATATAAAAAATTCCAATAATTGTTCTTAAACATTAAAAAAGATTTCAATTTGTTTCTTAAATAGAAACCTGAGCTGTAGCCTGAGAAAGGTGCCAGAAATATCCCTAGCACATTGCCTGTCATGTAAAGTCTCAGTTTTGTCAAATGCATGTTGCATTTTCTCTGTGTTTTCCAATGCATCGTATAAAAAGATAATATTAAATGCTTAGCTTTTGCATGATAAATCTTAACTATTGGTAAATTTAAAATTCTAGATTATTTTTGTAAACTGTAGAACATGCTTTACTAATTTAGATTTATACTTATATTTAACAAGATAAACACGATAAAGATCTCCTCTGTTGAAGATTTTAGTCTTTTACACTGAAACTTTATAATAATAATGACAATGATTGGTAAAGACAATGAAAATATTTCAAAATCTACCTACTGCTTAATGTCCTTTTAATGGGATCATTGTAACTTTGATTTTTCTTTGCTTCTGTATAGCCTTAAGCTGAAGCAGTATTGTGTTAATTCCTTAGAATTGATTTGAATCAATCAGTGGATTTGGAAATTGATGAATTTTATTTCTCTATTATGAACTAATTATGTAGCTATGTGAAAGAATGCAGCTTTTAAAAATTTATGAGCAGATATATTTTTGTGATTTTATGGTAGTATATAAATAATTTTATATGCTAGAGATCTTTATTACTGTTGCTTATAGATGATTCTAAAATTATGTTTAAATGTTAATATGATTGTGGTGATAATTGTACAACTTTGTGAGCATACTAAAAATCTCTTAATTGTCTATTTTTAGTGAATTAAATGGTATGTGAATTACATCTCAAAAGTTTTAAGAAAGGTCAACATGGGGAAACGGTTCAAATTCAAGGCTCTGGTGTTAGATAAACCTAGATTTGCATGGTAGTTCTACTATTTACTTTGGTTATTACATTACCTTTCTGAGGTTTAGATTTAAAATTTCTAAAAATTGAATTAATACGTACCTTAGGATTGTTTTGAAAATTGAATAATAATTCTTGGCATATTGTCAGTGCTTCATTTATCTTAGCTGCTATTAGAATTTATAATTTTATATTACCTAACAAGCAAGCAGGATTAAGAAGAAGGCATCTTGGCAGAGGAGGCGTATATACAAAGGGTTGGAGTTGTGAAATGACACAACACACTTAGCAACCATAAGAGCGTGTTGAAGAAGTGTGTGAGGAACATGTAAAATACAGATTCATGTAGAAAGCCGTACTTCTGATCTGTCATTCCTGACAATAGGTGAAAGATCCTGGACAATAAATATTTCCTGAACTGAATAAAAGAATAAGACCTTATTTGTGACTGAGACATTAACAGCAAGAGGATGAAGGATTAGAAATGAAGTTGAGTTCCTTTGTTGAGTTTAATTAGCCATGTCATCTTGAATAAATAGGGATTGTGCATATTTGGAACAGCTGTAGTAAATTCTGTTCTGTTACCAGTTTTCCAGTGTTTTATTATGAAAATGTTCAGGCAAACAGAAAAGTTGAAAGAGTTGTACAGTGAAAACCTGTAGACCCATCACTGAGATTCAACAATTAGCTTTTAACTCTGTTTGCTTCACCATGTATCCGTCAATCAATCTTATTTTTGTAATGTAGTTCAAAATTGTAGATATCAGTTCACTTCACTCTTAAAATGAAACGTATTTTGCTTTGTGTGTGTGTTTTAAAAAATAACTACAAAATGTATTATTAAAATATTGGAATTACATAATTTTCACTTTTGAATGCTTGTATTGGGATCAAGTACCTAAGTTACTTTGTTTAGATGCTGAATACTTTAAAGCTGTTAAGGGAATACTTGAAGCTTGCTGTTATAGTACTGTCAACAAAAGATGTGATTAAATAAATGTGATTAGATAAATATTCCAGCTAGCATGCAGCTCTCTAACTGGAGATCGATACCGTTTTTTAAATCTAAAATTTACATACCATGAAAGACACAAGTCTTAAGTATACCGTTTGATGAGTTTTGACAAATTTATACATTTGTGTAACCCCAGGTCCCCATCATGATATCATTGGTCTTGAAAGTTCTCTTTCCCAGCCAATTCTGGTTCCTATCCCCCAGAGGCAATTATTAATTCTGATTTTGTGTACCATACATTAGTTTTGCTTGTTCTAGACATACATGTTAAAAAAAAAAAAAAAAAACCAACCCATAAAGTATATACTCCTTAGTATAAGGCTTCATTCAACATAATGCTTTTGAGATTCATCCATGTTGTTTGTTACCTTTTCATTTCATTCATCAGTAGTTTGTTACCTTTTATTGCTGAATAATATTCCATTCCAGAAGCATAGCACCATTTAAAATTTTCTATATCTGCATAAAGGACATTTGGGCTATTTCCAGCTTTTGCCAATTATAAATAAAGCCTATATGAACATTATTGTATACATATTTTGTGGACATAAGCTTTCTTGAGGAAATTCCTAGAAGTGGAAATGTTGAGTCATAGCATACATAGGTATATATCTTACATTTTGATTATAGAAAAAGCAATTGCACTTTTCTAAGTGTTCCTTTCTGTTGCTCCATTCAGTTCCTACTTATTGTATGAGTAAACTAGATCTTGCTGGTTCTTTCTTTTGTGAACAAATGTGAAAGTAAATTCTTCATATTTCTCCTCCCTCCCCTGCACAGACATTGCTAGAAGACAGTGATTTTCTTAAGCAGTAGGTTTTAAATTTCTCCTTCCAGTAGGAAATACTACAAATTACATTTCGTATTGTTTTTGAAGGTACCACTAACACACCCGTACACACACACATTCATGCGCGCATGCACACACACACACGTCATATCTACTCCCCCTTAACTCAATAATCTTCATCTGATATAAGCTACCATGATTTAAGCACACCATTTTGGATTGGGGGCTCAGGTGGCTGTTGCTTCTATTTTTTAGTGTATAGTTAACATTGGCAGTCACCCTTATAATGATGTGACACCAGCTACCCTCAAGTACATTGAATAAGCCATGCCTAGCACAAGAGAACTTGATTTAATTGGCAACAGTGTTTGCCCTCGCATGATAGGCACTGAAGTAAAACAAAACCTATTTTGCTTTGTGTGTGTGTTTTTAAAAATAACTACAAAAATGTATTATTAAAATATTGGAATTACATAATTTTCACTTTTGAATGCATGTATTGGGATCAAGTACCTAAGTTACTTTGTTTAGAAGCTGAATACTTTAAAGCTATTAAGGGAATACTTGAAGCTTGCCGTTATAGTACTGTCAACAAAAGATGTGATTAAATAAATTGAATGTTGAAGACTTTAGGCTTATAGTTAACACCAGGTAATTAAAAGTAAGCACTGCTGTGGGAGTGCATTATATATCAGCTGTCCTCTTTACCTCATTAACTGAGTTTTTGCATGTTTATAGAGCCAACTTCAATTAAAAATGCCTTTTAAGTTATGACTAACAAGGTCTTTTAGTTACTGTTTGGTATAAAGTATTACATTTTAATTGAAATTGGTATATCATAAATACCTGCCTTTGAATAATGTACAAGATAAAGAACTTTGATTATTTGATATTTTTGCATATGGTTTTTATTCCTATGCATTACTTTTTTGTATATTATCAAAAGATATATAAACTTTGGGGTTTAAAAATGAAAAACTGGGTTGTATACATGTTAGCAAATTGCTTATATCTACTTTTTTTTTAAGCTTATAAGATTTCCAAGGTTTTATTATTTCAGATTAGCAGCGCTTTACAATTCTTGTGGAAATGTTGAATTTTCTGCTTTAATTCTTTTGGTTATATTTTGTTTGTTAGATAATTAAAGATAATCCTAAATTTTAAAAATACTATGTGGTAAATATAAGTTTAAATGTTAAAATGGATTGTTATATTTTCATAGTGAAATGCAGATAAAAATGGACAATATTGAAGAAATTTCACGTTGGGTGAAAAGTCTAAACTGTACATCAAATTGAAATAAGAAAATTAGAAAAATAAGTTAGCTACCTAATTTCTGTTTTGAAATTCATGTAATTAATTCAAGAGATCAATTTGTATCTTTCAATCTGTTTACTTTCTTTATTACAGAAGTGTCATTGTTGCAGCAAAAAAATCAGCAGTCTCACCTTCCACCTTTACTACAAGCATACCTACCAATGCTGTCAGTGTGGTTTCCTCAGCAGATTCAGCCCAAGCCTCAGATGTGGGAGGAGAATCACCAGGTGAGCTAGTTATCAGTGATTTCAACAAAAATGTTTTTACATCTCATTTTAGCAAAGCTTAGGATTTTTGATTAACTTAAAATTTGGGGGCACATTAGAAACCATTGTGCTTTTATCCTGTTGATTGTTTACTACTTTTCTGAATAAATTTGAGTAAAATTAAAAGAATTTAAGTCGAGGATTTCAGTATTTTCTCCACTCAAACCTAATATTGTGTGGTAGATTAGATGCTGCTAGTTGGGTAGATGAGTGCATGGATGAATGATAGATTCATAAAAATACTTTTTTCCTTTGTTTTCTTTCCCTGCACTTAAGAAGATGTATATTGATAGTGGCCTAAATTAGAAAGTCTTGTTGACATGTAATCTTTTAATATGGTTACTGGTTGTCAAATATTTATATAGTATCCAATACTTTGTTTTTTTTGGCAATTTTTTTGAATTAGAGGCTTGGAAAGGAATGCTGCTCTGAAGTGTAGCATCATTCTAACAATGGTCATACTGGTTCAGTTCCTTCTACGGCAATTTTATTTTTGTCCATCTCTCCTTCTATATTCTTTCCATGTCTAAAATCATGTATGTGGATAAAGAATTATTTCCATGTATAAAAGCATATATATGGATGCAAGATTCTATACGATGATGGGAAGCTTTGTGGTGATACGGGGTAAACTTGAAGAATGTGCAGTATTAAAATGACCAAGTATAACAAAGGGGATGTTACTGTATCAGTGGTTTTCTTCTGGATATTTTGATGTTTCTTAAGGTTAATAACAAGATATTGTACCCACCAAAACATTCATCTTAAGATTCTAAGTTGAGATTGATGAAAAATAAAGAAATTTTGAAGGAATGGCCTGGTGGATTATATTGAGAACAGAAATAATGCTGTTACTTCTTTTGGGATATCTCAGGCCAGGGTTTGCCTTCTGTTCTGCTGTTCTACCTTTATTTGGCAAATTAGCATATCTTGGAGAGTTTTTTTCCAAACTTGATATTGCTACTGTCCAGTAGCTGGGAACTTTTTTCCTTGATGTGTACTATGTAATCATGTATCCTAGAAACAAATACTATGTTTATTTCTTTTTTCTTCTCTCTTTTTTTTATTTGTTATTGTACTTGTGTTAACAAAAATATATTTTATCAGAAGTTTTAAGCCTGTTTAATTTTTTACAAATTTTATAGTACTTAGTGATAAGAGAAAATGTTCAGTAGGTTAAGTAAAAGAAAGTTATATGCAATTCTTTACGTACCATATAATTACAACCAAGTGACTTATCTACCTTCTTTACATGATAAAAGCAAGAAAGTGTATTATGAAGTCATTTGGCTCTCCATGAAGTTGGGCTACTGACAGTTTTGATTTTCGATATTTACTTTAGGTAGTATTTCTAAAATTTAATTAATAGTCTTGTATTATTTTTATTCTTAGGAAAATTAGTAATTAGAATTTTTTTTCTACTTTGAAACCAAAAGCTGCAATTGTATCAGAGTTTTGTCTGCCTTGCTTTTTATTTTATAATTTTTTTCAAAAATTGATAGACTTTTTAAGATGACTTTTAAGTTTACAGGAAAATTGAGTTTGAAGTACAGAGAATACTCAAATACCCTCTCATTCTCTCCCTCGCTGGTTTCCCCTGGCCCGGTGAGAATTACAAAGGAAAATGGACATGAAACTCTAGCAAATTTTTCATCTTTATTGTTCCATTATACTCTGATGCCTCTTTTTTTTTTTTTCCCCTTTGGAGAAGAAATAATTTGGTAATTCATTTGGAACTGGGTATGCACATTTCCGCTTCTCCATCCCCATCTAAAGTCCTTTAAAAAAAAGAATCAACTGTGGTTTTTCTAGAGTAGTCCCTTTTGTGAAAAATGCAATGGTTATTAGTATCTATGAAATGATTTACATGCCATCTTTTAAATTCAGTTATAGTAAATTTTTCAGTAACATCCCAAATCAAATGTGATTTCAGAAATTCAAAGTACACTGAGTAAAATATTTTCTCATACTGCCCTCTAGTTTCAGTTTAGGGAACAGAGTAAATAGGACCCTTTGATTGCTTTTAAGCCTATTCTTTAAAATTTAAGTCATGGAGTTTTCAGAAGAGATAAACAGCTGAGACATGGGTAATGTTTTACATGTAACAGTATTATACATTTCTCTCTGAAGCCATTGCATTTTTCCAGTAAATTTATTGTAATTTAAAATACTCACTTTGAAAAACCGTATGCAGAATTACAAAACACTTTGCTATCTTGAAGACTGTTGTATTTATTGGCAAAATCTACAAAACCCTGTACCATTGATCCAGCTCATAATGTATCTTATTTTTCTGTTGCTTAAATTTTGTATGCTTTTTGATGGAGTTTCTCAAATGGTTACCAATTCTTTTTTCCATCTTGAACTAGAATTTTAAACTTTTTTCCCCCCCAACCCTACCCCCATTTAAAAAAAATAGTTATTCCTTTTTCATTATTTCAAGTCTTCCTTGTGATTATGGTCTTTCTGTTTACCATTTATTTTGGTTTCCACATCTGACTCTTCTTTCTCCTCTTTCACTGTGCTCTTGTTACTGTCATATGGGTTCTCCATTTCAGTGTATTGCTTCTGTTTTATTCCGTTAATTGATGCCATGAACATTACTGCCTTGATAAGAAAAATCTAACCTAATCTAGTGTTTTTAGTTGTCCTGCTTGTTACTCTTCTACCGCCCCACTTTACATACTTTTGCCTACCATACTTGCCCTTGCACTTGTTAAGTACTCATTTCCACATGGAATCCACCCCAACCCCCCAAATAGTTCTTTCTCCCTTGTCAATATTTTTTTTAACTGATACATTTTTGTTTTCTTTTCGGTGGGTCTCTTGCTTTAAGTTATTTGCCATTAAAAGAAGTAGATAAATATATAGACGGTTCCAACTTAACAATTTTTTGACTTTATAATGGTGTGAAAGCAATACACATTCAGTAAAAATTGTACATCAAGTTTTCTGTATGACCATTCTATTTTTCACTTTCAGTACAGTATTTAGTAAATTATGTGATATATCCAATACCTTATTATAAAATAGGCTTTGTGTTAAATGCATTTGTGACCTGGAATATAGATGCTTCTTGACTTATGATGGGGTTACATCATGATAAACCATTGTAAGTTGAAAATATCGAAAATTGAAAATGCATTTAATGCACCTCACCTACCAAACAGCATAGATTAATCCACCCTATCTTAAATGTGCTCAGAACACTTACATTATCCTACAGTTGGGCAAAAAATTTACTTGATAGAAAATACGAGGTTTCTGCTATAACACTCATATTTTCTGTTACATATTCACATGATACCTTCAAGGTAATTCCCATTTGTGGATATTTGGAAATTTTGATATTAAAATGATACACATTTTACATGCAGTACAATTAAAGAGAAACTAAGATAGATACTAATCACAGAAACAGTTAACACTTGCTAGGTTTATATGAGGTCAAAGCTTTTTCTATGAAAATATTATCACTGAAATAATTTTATAACCCATAGAAATTGATAATTTGTTTGCAGTTTGAAATAATACACATTATTAAGACTATAATTAACATACAAAACTTTTTTGGTGTACAAATTTCAAATTTTAATTTGAATAGCATACCTTGGCTTATGCAGCATTTTATCAACCAAAAGGACTAGTCTAAGAGCAACAATTGTATCTTCTAATTAATAAGTATTAAAAGATATTCATCAGAGGATAAGACATATCCTTTATTGCATGTTTTCAAAGAAAATAAAAGCAAAAGTGATTTTAGTAAATATATCAAAATCTGGAAATTTTGTAGTCATCAGCACAGATTTGATTACCTAGAATACAGTATCCTTTCTTTTTTCTTTTTTTAAATTGAGACAGGATCTTTCTCTGTTTCTCAGTCTGGTGTGCAGTGGCACAGTCATAGATCTCTAAGCCTTGAACTCCTGGGCTTGAGTGATCCTCCTGTTTCAGCTTCCCAGGTAGCCAGAATTACAGATGTGTGTCTCCATTCCTGGCTAATTTTAAAATTTTTGTAGAGACAGAGTCTTGCTCTATTGCCCAGACAAGCCTTGAAATCCTGGCTTCAAGTGATCCTTCCACCTTCACCCAATATCCCTTCTTGTATGTTAAAATATTATTACTCTTTTTCCAATATGCTGTTTCTCTGTACTGCAAAGCATACATGAATAAATCAAAATTGAAACTAGCTCAATAAAGGAACTAAGTATACTGTTCACTAATTTATATGCCTGGTGTTTGCTACTTTGCAAAATTTAGTAATTCTACCACTTACTAGAATATTAGACAGTATCTGTTTATCAGAGCCATATACATTATTAATTAGTACTTTTTTAATATTAGGGAAATATTTGAGTCATAACCATATTTCCTTTGTGTAAGATTTGGGCCAATAGGCTTATTTTTATTCATTCAATAGGATTTATTTAATTAGTTTTTACTGGGCATATAGACGATCCCTGGCTGAATTTACTGGTTCAGAAAAGAGAGAGAGAAATGCAGTGTTAATGTGTTTAGGGGTTAAAAAATTGGCATTTGTTTTAATGATTCTTTATTGCAAGGGACATTAGTTATTTAGACCCGCAGGGACCTTAAATAAACAATTGCCTACTCCCCAGATAGATGCTAGACAGATGATATATTTGCGTTTTCCTTTTTGTCCTTTTGAATGTCTGGAAAACTGTCAGTTTGAAGGAGCCAGTTTATCAGTGCTAGGATAAGGAAAAGATAAGTGAGTATCATTCCACATGTTGGAGGTAGCTTCTGCATTTATATATTTGTGATCATTTGCTGGAAATATTTAATGATAATTTAATTTAAAACAAATTGATTGAAAGTGTATATTTTTATCTGAGTTGAAAAAATACAGAATGTGTTTGGATGTTACATTTTTTTCCCAGCAGGAATGGAGAACAACCTAGTGTGAAATTACTGATGTATTTAGTTTATTCTTTCATGTGATTTTTTTCTTATAACTTTTGCTGGTTAATTTATTATCCTTGTTGGTAAAGTGTCTTCTTATGACTTAAGACACTTTGTAAAAAATCTCTTTCTGCTGTATTCTTTTTTAGAATTGAAAATTGGCATTACTTCTAGGGTAGTGTGAGGAAATAATTTTTGTTACTGCTTTATTTAGAAGCAACAATGTTGCTTTTCTTTTTCACATTTCTAATACGCATTTCTCATTAAAATTTGTATCATTTACAACAGTGGGCAGGGTGTGGTGATTTACACCTGTAGTCTCAGCACTTTGAGAGGCTAGGGTGGAAGGATCACCTGAAGCCAGGAGTTCAAGGCTAGCTTGGGTAACTTTTCACTTCAAGGAATTAAAAAATTAGCTGAACGCGGTAGTACATGCATATAATCTCACCTACTCAGAAGGCTGAGGCAGGAGGATCACTTGAGTCCAGGAATTCAGGACTGTGGTGAGCTGTGATCACACCAGTACACTCCAGCCTGGGCAACGGAGCAAGACTTCATCTCTTAAAACAAAAAACAAACAAAAAAACCCCACAATAAACCATTTAACACAATAAAGGCTAATTTTGCCTAAAACCTCATACATACATTCCCCGCCCCCGCTTTTTTTCCCCCTAAAGCCTCATGCATACCTTTTTTGGGGAGGGATTTATTTTTTCCATTTCTACTTTTAAGTAAATGGGACCTTATGTGTTCCTTTGTATTAGTGTCAGAAAAGCTCAAGAAAATCCATCAATAATGCTAATAGAGAAAATGTCTGATACATTGCAATAAAAAATGGTCTTCAGGCCAGGCGCAGTGGCTCACGCGTGTAATCCCAGCACTTTGGGAGGCCAAGGCAGGTGGATCACGAGGTCAGGAGATCAAGACCATCCTGGCTAACATGGTGAAACCCCGTCTCTACTAAAAATACAAAAATTAGCTGGGTGTGGTGGTGGGCACCTGTAGTCCCAGCTACTCAGGAGGCTGAGGCAGGAGAATGGCGTGAACCCGGGAGGCAGAGGTTGCAGTGAGCCGAGATCGCACCACTGCACTGCAGCCTGGGAGACAGCGAGACTCCATCTCAAAAAAAAAAAAAAAAAAAAAAAAAAAAAGGTCTTCAAAAACTATCACCAGTTAAAAAACACGGAAATATTTTATTAATCACTGGTAACAGTCAATGACCCACTGTGATTCATTGATCATATTGTTGTCAAAAACTTAGAAAATTGCAGGTGTCATGTACCGAGTGTAATAAGGCCAATGGGTCTGTGAAGTACTTTACTGAGTGTTGTATATGATTTTAGGATTGGACCTGACTCTTAGAAGTGCCGGATACCAAAGAGTGAAAAAATGTTTTTTAACTTCGCTGGTCTTGCCGTCTAATTTGAAATTTTATTGTGAAAAATACAAAAATAGCATTATTTTTATGATGAAATGTGAGTTGATATATATGCTTTTAAAAATTGTCACAATGGGCTGGTCATGGTGGCTCATGCCTATAACCCTGGCACTTTGGGAGGCCAAGGCTGAAGGATTGCTTGAGACCAGAGAAGGATTGTTCGAGACCAGCCTGGGCAACATAATGAGACTCTGTCTCTACAAAAAAAAAAAAAAAGGCAATAGACGGGTGTGTGGTATGCACCTATATTTCCAGCTACTTGGGAGGCTGAGGCAGGAAGATGGCTTGAGTCCAGGAGTTGAAGGCTGCAGTGAGCTCTGATCACACCAATGCACTCCAGCCTGGGTGAGAGAGTAAGACCCTGTCTCAAAAAAAGAAAAATAAAAAATAATTGTCAGCATGATGAAGTGTGTGCTTTAGCTTCATTTTTAAAGGAATCCTATGCGTCCTGACCACCAGTCACTTGGTTAGAGTTTTTAGGTACAGGTAGATCTCAGCTGAACAGGATGGTGAGGAAGGTAGGACTGTAAGCAATACAAAGCTTCCAGTATAAAGGAAAGTCAACTTTGATTATCAAGGGAATGGGAAAGGAAGTATGTTGTGGAAAAGAAAGATTGACTATAGTTAAGTTCATTTTGTACTAGGAATGTGCTCACTCTAAGGTGGGCTCAGTAATCATCCAGAGGTTAATTGTGGAAGATTGCTGCATTGCCCGCTTTCCAAAAGGAACCAAGCTTGTTGGGGGGTAAAATTGTCTAGATTTTTGGATCCTTGGATTTGACTGAGACCTGGTAATCAGAACTGAGGGTTGTTGATCAAGTGCTGCCTAAAAACCAAGCATGTTTCAGGAAAGCTCAAAATTGCCTCAGGTCCTTGCTGTTTTTTAATCAGTTAAATCCACAAAACCTCTGATTAGGTCCTGGCTATGCTTATCTATATCCAGAATTAACCTTATTTGCCTTACCAAAAAGAGCACATTGAATCAGCATGCCTAGATACAATTGAAGTGAGCCTGAGGAAGTTCTGGGAGTGGTGTGAAGCAGAGGGAAGTGTTGTGTTGTGTGTGTTGTGTTGTGTTGTATTGTTATTGTGTTGTATTGTATTGTATTGTATTGTATTGTATTGTATTGTATTGTATTGTATTGTATTGTATGGTGTTGTGTTGTATTTTAAGACAGGGTCTTGCTTTGTCACCCAGGCTGGAGTACAGTAGTGCAATCTCAGCACACTTCAAGCTCTGCCCTCTAGGCTCTAGTGATCCTGTCACCTCAGCTTCCCAAGTAGCTGGGACCACAGGCACACACAACCATGCCTGGCTACTTTTTTGTATTTTTAGTAGAGACAGGGCCTTGCCATGTTTCCCAGGCTAATCTTGAACTCCTGAGCTCAAGCAGTCCTCCTGTCTTGGCCTCCCAAAGTGTTGAGATTACTGGCATGAGCCACTGCACCTGGCCAAAAATGGCAATTCCTTTTTTTTTTTTTTTTTGAGACAGAGTCTCACTTTCTCACCCAGGATGGAATACAAGGGTGTTTGATCAGTGGGAGCCCCTTCAAGCTGGCTTCAGTGTCCTTGTGACATAACCTATTATTCCTTGGACATATCCTATCATTCCTTGCTTTCTACACAGCATAACTAGATGTTTCAAACTCATTTGGTGCTTTTCTTCCACAGATCTCGAATCAGCCATTTCTTTCTTTTAGTGGAGTATAGTATTAAGAAACCAAGATCTGGACACCAAGTGTTAAGGTGTTGCTGCTTCCATGTCCTCTTAGTGGACAGAGCTAGAGGCGGTGTGTGTGTTTGTGTGTGTGTGTGTTTGTATATAAAAGTCTACAAAAATGTATACTGTCATTCACATATTATTACCATCTCTCTATTGCAACCATCATTTCACATAGATATGAATTCTACAATTCTTAGTTTTCTTTTTTCTTTGAATTCCCTCCTCACACTGGCTCCAGTAACTTTCTTTGGGCCAACACAACCTCCAGCCTGATGCAGATGCTTTCCTTGATGTGTTTCTAATAACTTTTGGACTGAAAGATTCAACAAAGTTTGGGAAAGAGGGCCCTTATTCTCTTTAAAGCATAGTGTTTTTGTATTTGCAGCATAATGAGAAAATAACTGATAATAGTTGTGATACAAGATTACAGATTCTCAGAGGTCTAGGCTTCTAACCCTGATTACATTTATTGCTGCAATTTAGTCCTTCAGTAGTGATTTGATAACTGAATAAGGATAGTTTTCATGGTAATGGAGGTTTAAAGCTAAATTTAGAATGTAGGTGTTTCTGTGTTGTTGCTATATTAAAAAATACTTTTACTTGTAACTTTCTGTTGACACTTGGTGTTGAATAGAAGGAATTGTGAACTTTAGGGAGTCAGGATTTACTTTTCTCTTGCTTTTTCAGCTCACAGATACAAAGATTGTTCTGGCATGATAATTGAGCTCGTAGCTGAGGTTTATATATGAAAGGATTTAGTTGTTAATTGTTAGATTTTAATGTTATCCAAATAGTAATGGACATAAAAATACATTATAATGCTTTTATTGACTGGTATAATGACATTCTTATTTAAATCTTCATACCTAAAAGCAGAAAATTCCTATAGATGGTTATTTTTCTTTTATAGGCAGTAGATCATCTAATGCAAAATTGCCCTCGGTTCCAACAGTTGATTCAGTTTCACAAGACCCGGTTTCAAATATGAGGTATTTAAGCTACTAACTTGAATATTGTGATTCATACCTTTTGATGACTTTTTAAGCTATCTAGGTTTATTTTACTTCATTTCATTTCATTTCTTTCTTTCAACATATATGACATTTAGAGGCTTGGGAACATTTTAGAAGTTCATTTTCGTTTGAAAGATTATAAGATGTACAAGTCATTTCATGATGTACAAGTCACTTCATGAGAAGTGACTATTTGTGTTAAAAAATAATTGCTGCATGCATAACAAATATTTACATAAGCTTATGACTTATGTTTCAAATGATTGCAAATTGAAAGTATGGAATTTGTTGTTTCTCCTCTATAAAATGCTGATGTAGGCCGGGCGCGGTGGCTCACTCCTGTAATTCCAGCACTTTGAGAGGCTGAGGCAGGCGGATTACTTGAGGTCAGGAATTCAAGACCAGCCTGGTCAACGTGGTGAAAACCCATCTCTACTAAACATATATTTAAAAAGTAGCCAGGTGTGGTGGTGAGCACCTGTAGTCCCAGCTACTCGGGAGGCTGAGGCAGGAGAATCACTTGAACCCGGGAGGCAGAGGTTGCAGTGAGCTGAGGTCATGCCACTGCACTCCAATCTGGGAGACAGAGAGAGACTCCATCTCAAAAAAAAAAAAAAAAAAAAATACTGATATAAGTGGTAGCCATCCAGCCAAAGCCACAATGATACTGAATTATAGATAGATTTTTATTGTCACTTACCTTGTTTAATTGGGTTTCACAGTTTAATTTCGAATGCTATGAGTGTATTTTCCACCACTAGAGTCTTAGTGGCCAGAGTCCTTGATTTTCTTTACCACAACTGGGAAATCCATTAGACACTACAAATGTAGGTACTTGAGTGCTTCGAGTGTGGCTAGTATTTACGATACTATTCAGGGATAACAAGTTCTATGAGTTGTGTAGAAGAAAATAGTATTTAGAGAGTGCCTGTGAGGAGATGGTTATTCACAGCAAAATTTATATATGTTTGAGTTGATAGTTTCAGTAGCAACTGCTTTCTTGATAGTATGAATAGGAGGTACTCCTAGTGTGAATAGTAGATAACTAGTGACTCTTTATGTATATGTTTAATTTGTAAGTTAGAAACTGAAGCTGTGGATATCTGTGAATTTTCTGAAATGCTGTGGACCTTAAAAAAAAGTCATTAAATGTATCTGTGTATGTATATATGAATACATGTATATATAATCACAAATATATATTAATATATTTTATGTATTTATGGCACATTTACAACTATCTCAGTTTATTAATAAATATAACTATCAACAAAATGATAGTTTTGTTATAATTTGCCTTTAAAGTATATTATTTTCAGGAGAAAAATAATTCACATTGCATTAGAAAGGAATTATTGACTTCAATAAAAAAGAACTGCTTTTTATAATTTATAAGCACTCAACATCTGTTGAGTCTGTACTATATGCTGTAACTGTGAATTTTAAAATGAAGTCATGGTTCTTGAACTCAGTGGGCTAATGGTTTAGTGGTAAATAGAAAAATTTGTTGAAGACTTGATGAGAATTTATTTAGATTATGATGGGCCTAAAAACAAACTGCTCTTAACTGGCCAGGTGAGACTCCTAGTAAGTACTGATGCTTGGAGTGGTTGTTAACCAGGATGTTTGCTGGAGATAGTAGGGGCAAGCTAGATCAGATAAAAACGAATATTTTTGGCAGAAGGACTGCTATACATAGCAGTAATGTCTCTTTAGGTGATTTTTAATTTTTTTAATATAATTATATATATATGGAAACACATCTTTATTTTTGAAACTAGAAAATTGATACAATCTGTTGAATAGTTCAAGTAACTTAATGTCTTTTCATTAGTATTACAGAGAGGCTTGAACATGCTTTGGAAAAAGCAGCTCCTCTCCTTCGTGAGATTTTTGTGGATTTTGCACCTTTTCTTTCTCGGACACTTTTGGGTAGCCATGGACAAGAACTACTTATAGAAGGAACAAGTAAGTGATTTTTCTTTATTTTATTTGTATGCATTTATATTTCAGGATTAAAAACTTACATGGATGATGAGATAACATGGAGTTTCATTGTTTAAGTGTTGTCAGCCTTTGACAAGGTTTCTCATAGTCTGTATCTTTTGAAGAATGTGTCACATGTCTATTATGTTGTAATCTTCAAGATTTTTATCAGTGATTTGGATGAAGCATAGAATTATGTGTTGAACCAAAGAACTAAGACTTTTTTTTTGATACATTAAAATTAACTTTGAGAGCAACGAATTGGAGAGACTAGTGTCACAGGATTTTACTTGAACTTAGATCCATATGAACAGCAATGTATTGCCACATAAATAAGGAATACATTGTTATTAGTAGAATAATGTTTTACAAATAGAGGTAACAGCATTGTACTCTATACTACTTACATCATTCATAGATTACTGGGTCTCTTCTAGGTAATGTACTTTGAGATTGTCAAACTAGATAGCATGCTGAGGTAGGTTGCTGAGGGGATTGGAAACCATGCTATTTATGGAGTGAATGAGGAATAATGAGACCTTTCTTTTTTGTTTGTTTGTTTGTTTGTGGCACATGGGGCATTGCCATGTAGTGAGTCCCTTCGAATATTGGAGAGAGACTTAACCGAGTGAAAGTAGATTTACCGTAAATTTCCTCAGAAAGCAGATAGCAGTTCAATAGAGGATAATTTGTTAAATAATGAGTTTAACAGTTTAACAGACTGACTTCAAAATACCAATCTTCATCTTTGTACCTAGGATTTAAGTAGTTTAAGATACCTATATTTGTTTAAGATACCTATATTTGAGTTAAGATACCTGTATATAGTTTCAGATATCTATATTTGAGTATTAACTGTGCAATATGAGCACTTCGTTTGACCCTTACAGTATCAGTGGGTAAGTATGAAGCTTTAGCTAGGAATTTCATCTCTTCTATAGATGTAAATGGAGTTGGTGATGAGTGATATTTTTATGCAGTGAAAAAGTAACAATGAATTTATTTGAAAAAGAAAGTTCAGACTTTAGAAGTACTTAAGTTTGGAATAGCAATTTCCTTAGATCTATTGAAGGATATAATTTATTTAGCTATGAACCATTTGATGAAGAAATAAATGACTTTTACTATGAAATAATATAATTTGGGAAGAATTGAATTTTAAAAATTGAAGAGTCTATATTTCAGGGCTTTTCCCTAATTTATAGTTTCATATATGAAACTTTTTTTTGAAAGTGGTGTAACAACTTATGAACTATGTGTAATTTTATTACAGTGAGTAAGATGTGTGTATTAAATACAGCTTCTCAGTATTGCAAGATATTGTTGCTTATTGGTCTTTGAATTCTATAACAGATAAGATAGAATCATATTAAATACCCAGAAGAATTAAGAATGAACACTTCTATATTCCCAAACAAAATTTAATTTAGAATCATTTTTTACCAGTAAATTTTGGTAAAACTGTAAGAAGGAAGAAGGTGTACTATTGCTCATGTATAAACTTGAGCAGTGCATATTCATTGGATTATGTTCATAAAAATAGCAAACAAATCTAAAAGTTCTTATGTGACTTACGTATTTTATGTTGTAAGGAATGTTTTGGATTGTGGTTTCATGTACTGTAAAACAGAAAGGATTTAAAAAGAGGTGATTGTGCCGTAGTACTGTACAAGCAGCGTAATACTGTACAGAAAGCATTAATATAAATGGCAGGAGACTTTGGTTTTCATTCTGTCCTTGCCAGTGACTAGCTGTGTGACCAAACATTACAAAGCTTCTTAATCTTTAAAAAATATTCTTACGAGTTTTTTAGTTATAAAAATGTTTTAATGAAAATTTCGAATTTTCACAAAGTAGGAAGTACAGTATCTATTAACTTATTATCAGCTGTCCAAACCATATTCATTTTTCCATAATTATTTGATATCTCTATTCCCTTTATTTTGCTTTAGTATTTAAAACTATCTTAGATGTTATGTCATTCAACCCTTGAATACTTAATAGCATGTAAAAAAAGATGTTTTCTTACATAATCACAATGCTGTTATTACACCTAATAATAGTAACAATAGTTTCTTAATGTCCTCTAATACCCAGCCCATATTTATCTTTAAGAAAATATATATATGTGTATATACAGATATATATGTGTATGTGTATATATGTGTATATGTGTGTGTATATATACACATATATACATACACATATGTATATGTGTGTATACATATACTTTTTTTTTTTTTTTAAGACAGAGTCTCACTGTGCCGCCCAGGCTGGAGTGCAATGGTGTGATCTTGGCTCACTGCAACCTCTGCCTCCCGAGTTCAAGCGATTCTTGTGCCTCAGCCTCCCTAGTAGCAGGGACTACTGGCATATGCCACAAGACTGGCTAAATTTTGTATATTTTGTAGAGATGGTGTTTCGCCACATTGCCCAGGCTGGTCTCAAACTCCTGAGCCCAGGCAATCCTCCGGCCTTGCCTCCCAAAGTGCTGGGATTACAGGCTTGAGCCACCGCGACTGGCCATATGCCCTGTATATTTTGAAGACTTAAAGTTAAAGCTAAAAGTTAAATTAGGTGTAATACTTCATATTACATCATGCCTGGAATCTCCTGTAACCTGATTGTCTCAATTGTAGTGATGTTAATTAACCCTCTTTTTCAAGGAGTTAAAACCCTTTGTAAGGATTAATTTTTCTAAACAGACTTTCCAAAGGACAAAGAGAACACAAGCTTGAAAATTTTAAATTGTGTCTTACAATTATTATATGTGAGTTCACTGGATCCTTTTATAAATATGATTAATTATAGAGTCTTAGTGATCTTATTTTTTCTGTATCTTGAAACATTTTGCTATTTCACTATTACACATCAGCTATTCTTTGCTGTGGACTAAAATTAAAAAAAACAAGAAACCCACGAAGTACTGGAATTACGCATGGAGTGATGGCGGAAAAAAAATAATTACTCTTGTTTATTACCCTCTGTCGTTGTATTGCTTTACCCAAAGTTTTGCATTGTGTTTTTTTTTTGAGGCAGAGTCTCACTCCTACGCCCAGACTGGAGCACTACAGCCTTGTCTTCCTGGGCTCAGGTGATCATCCCACCTCAGCCTCTCAAGTAGTTGGGACTACAGGTGCATGTCACCATGCCCGTCTAATTTTTTAAAAATTTTATTTATTTATTTATAGAGATGGGTTTTGCTGCATTGCCCAGGCTGTTCTTGAACTTCTGGCCTCAAGTGATCCACCTGCTTCGGCCTCCCAAGATGTTGGGATTACAGGCATGAGCCACTGCACTCTGCCTGCGCTGTGTTTTAAGAAAGTATAAACTTGCAGTCTCAATGGGGCCAAAACTTTTTTTGGGGTAGGCAAAAAATATCTTAGATATTACAATGGCTTGTGACCCTCCAAAGGGTCACAGTATCTCTGTACAGCATATGAACATGTTATTTAGCAGGAAGGACTTCATCGTGCTAAATTTGTGTGATAATTTGAGACAAGAACCTGGGCCATCCCATTTTTCTAAAAAGACATGTTCTTCTGTCTTGTGGGATGATTATATACCACAGTTTACTTGATACAGTTTCTAAGTAGATAAATGCTAAAGGCAGGTGTGCATATAATGATGACTAGAAGGAAAAGTTTATATGGAAATAAAAAATTCAGTGGATTGATTATTCTAAATGTTTGTAAATCTGAACAAGAAAATATTTTGCAAGTCTCAAGCAAAGAAGATGTCTGTCCTCTCTTTAACAAAAGTTTTAGTCATCCAATTTTCCCAAAATGTTGGATTTGATGATATAAATTCAGGAAGGGAAACTAGAATTTATGATAAGCTAAACATGTATTTGAAATTTGGACTTAGTATTTACAAGACGGATGTGTTTCAGATTCGTGATCAGCATTTAGTTTTATCTAAAAGATAATGCTCATCTGGAGTATATGTATATATCTTCAAAACCAGGAAAATATGGAGTAAAACTTCTTGAGTTTATAATCCTTAAATTCTTATTAAAATTTCTCATAATGTTTATTACTATCCTATTTTAAAAAATAAGATGACTTAAATATAAAAAACAAGAGGATTCTTATATTCCAGATAGTAAATAGTCATGACTGTGTTTTCAGGATATACTTGAGGATTTAGATAGATCAATGGGTTTAGATGGCACTGGCTTACTATCTGGTAAGTCATTTGATCCTTTCACTGAAGTGATATATCTGGGTGAGTCTCCACTGAAGAAATTGCAGTGGTCTTGGATCATAAAATCCCAGATTAGTGCAGGTATAAAACTCTTGACTTGGCATCCCGAGTTTGTCCTTTTAAAAAGACTAACATTTTCTATCTTTGGAAAGCCAACCAAAAAATAATCAAACCAAACCCTGTTATTCTACTATTCTACTGAGAGTTTTAGAGAGGTCAGATTGTGAGCTGGTTCAAATCTGTAAGCTTGCAGTACTTCGTTTCTTTTGATTGAGACAGTAATAGGGTGTGTGTGTTTGTAGGTGTATAAAATGAAAATGATAGTTCTGGCAGTAACTTACAACTTGACCTTAGGGTTTTAGGACTTTCCTTTGGGTAGTTCTTAGAGTATGACTGAATCTGAAGAGAGATCTACAGGTTTATTATTTGTTTTTTCGCACATGTGAAGAGCGTCATCCATTGGCAAAAATTTAGGTCAAAAATAGAAGTGACGTAATTCTACATTTTGATGTTAAGTTCCTTGTTGGGGTTATCCTCTATTTCTTTGCTCCCAATGTTATTTTTGTGTTTACAGTACCAGTGTCCTTTAGACAGGGAGCTTAAGGTCTGTTATCAGGTTTCTCTTGTCTTCTGAAGCCTTTACTCATTCAGAATTGAACATACTCTCCACCCTGCCCCGCAATACATCTTCCACCACTCTCTTCCAAATTAATTGTTCAAACCAAACTATGAAATGTTATTTGGCCTTTTACTAGCTTGGTCAGTGAATACATTTTTTCCTGAATATTCATATCCAAGTAGAAAGTAGCTGTCAACCTTCTTCTGGTTTGTTAGCCTTTATTATTAGAAAATAAGACTGAAATAAATAAATAGAAATGTGTATGTATAACATTTTTCTTAAGAATATAGGTATATGGGCTGGGTATGGTGGCTCACGCCTGTAATCCCAGCACTTTGGGAGGCCAAGGTGGGTGAATCACCTTAGGTCAGGAGTTTGAGACCAGCCTGGCCAACATGGTGAAACGCCGTCTCTACTAAAACTACAGAAATTAGCCGGGCATGGTGGCGGGCACCTGTAATCCCAGCTACTTGGGTGCTGAGGCACGAGAACTGGTTGAACCTGGGAGGTGGAGGTTGTGGTGAGCCAAGATCGTGCCATTGTATTCCAGCCTGGGTGACAGAGCGAGACAACATCTCAAAAAAAAAAAAAAATATATATATATATATACACACACACACACACACACAGACACACATATGTATACATATATGTGTATGTATGAAATATGGTAAGTGTGGTGAGAGGGACAAAGGAGCACCTATAAATCTCCCTAATTTTGGATAGCTCAAGGTCTTTTTAAAAAAATTACTGTTTTTCATTATCTGAATAGATATATAATAAAAGGGCCCATCGGGGCCCAATGGCAGGAATTCTAGTTTTTGTAGAATAAAGCAATAAGGATTGATGACCTAATAATAGAAAGATCCAAATTTACTTTCTGGAAATAATGGGCTTTGAAGTTGCAGCAAAACTGAACTTCTATTATTATCTGGGTTAAATTTAAGGAAAAGTGGCAAGGTTTCAGACCAGCAGAGGGCTACACCTGCAGTAAGAGATGGAGTATTGCTTGCCTTTTTTTTCGTCCTTGACAGCATTAGCCTGAGGAGCCATGTTCATCTTAGCCCTACAGATATCACACTGTAGTTAATAACTTGCTTCCTAATACAATATAGAGACATTCTATACCTAATTTTCTTGCCAGTGCTGACACTGTTGCCATCATTGCTATGTTACATATTCTTTCAGACATTGAGAAAAATGGTTCTAACATTTTTTAAAAAGTGAAAGGGGTGAACAGCCCTTTTAACTTCAATGCTATTATAAGGCTAAAAAATGCCAACATGTGCTATCATTAGGTTGGAAGCATTAGTATTTAAACAGGGAAGGAGAAAGAACTAAAGAGAAAGATAAAGGGAATGGATAGGGTACCTGGAAGAATTTTCAGTGGGAGAAAAAAGAAGGTAATAGGGTGTTTAAGAGCCATCAGGAATTATTTTTAGATGTTATGCTCTGGAACCTAAGCCTGTGTTTGCCTAGAAAAATGTAGAATAAAAAAATTGTGATTTTTTTGATTATTAGTAATGCAATTTAATAATTTAGTCGCTTTAATTATTGGCATTGCTTTTTAAAGATACTAATCATAAAAAATTCTTTGAATGAACTACTTTATATTTTATTGGTAATTAAAACCAAAGACTTACTTTAGATAGGTATTAATTCTATAAAATATCCTTTCTAAAGATATTTTTGGCGAACCAAAATGAAACATAAAAGTAAATGAATTAATTTATAAGAAATCAAGAATATATAACAGACAACGGGTTGCATTTCTGTTAAGGTTTAGTGTGAGGTCAGAGGTCAAGGTACTAATAAGAGTGTTTGGGATGTCTGCTGCCATGAAACAAAATGGAAACTTGATTGATAGCTAGAGGGTTGAAGGGAGAGAGTGTGGTGGAGAAAGCAAAGGTCAGGGAGCCATTTCCCTTCTCTGCATGTATAACGATCAACTCTCTCCAAAACAAAATGTAGATGATATTGATCAATATGGCATATGTTGTGCACATTTCTATGAGTATTGTGAAATGTCATTATATATGAAGTTGTAATAAATGTTTTAGTATTTTGAAAGCTGAAATGGAATACTTCACAAAAATTGGTGGTGGTTTTGAAGCCAGCTTTAAACTAACTATAGTGTACCTTATTTAATCATGTAATTAAATGTGTACCATTAATAGTTTGAAAAAATAATTTGAAAAAACAGTTTGTATGAAATTTTAACAAATCCTTATTTGTTTTCTTTATAACTTTTTTTTTTTTTTTAATTCTCTTTAAAATAGGTCTGGTTTGCATGAAGTCTAGCAGTTCAGTTGTGGAATTGGTTATGCTACTGTGTTCTCAGGTGAGTGGCAAGAATAAATATTGAATTAAAAGTAGATTCTCATATGAATTTGTTTTCATGGGGGATTTTATATTTGCATTACTGAAATTTTTGCTATAATACAATTGTGAGTTTGCTGTTTTAAAATAATTTTAGTTGTATTGCAAAAAGATTGCTTCTTATTTTTGATACTTGCAGATAAGTTTGAAGCAAGTATGAGAGGAAGTGAGAAACAAAAGTTTTTAGAGTCACTTTAAAACTGTCCAGATCAAATGATCATGATAATTTCTTTGCTGTATGTATTAAGGTTATAAAAACAGATTTATTTCTGTATCTTGTGGAGTGCCATGCTGACTCCACTGGGAATCATGGGTTTACTTCCCTTTTGTGCAGAGGTTATAAAATGAGCGATAAATGATTTTGAATCCTTGTCATTGGTAATTATTTTTGACATGCACAGTAGATTTGGGAAAACATTAACAAAAAAGTGGCAGCTATCATAATAAGATGTAGAAAATAAATTCCTAAAAGCAAAATTACTTTCGGTGTTCTAAAACCTTGTACCTCATGTGGTAAAGTTTAATGATTTTTAAAAAAAACTTATGTAAAAATCATGTATCCTGCGAGGTTTTCTTTTCTGTTTTGCAATTAAACAGATGAATGTTTTTATTGAGAGTTTTCTTTGTAGTCTTTTAAAGTGATATCTTGCTGGTAGTAAATTCCCCCACTTAAAACTTTAAAATAGCCTTTTTTAATAGGAAAGGTATTGGTCTAGAGGTCAAGGGTTTTGACCCATTTCAAAACCTTTGACCTTCATTTACAACTCTCATGGTTTACTTGCCTAACGAATAAGGATAATGCAAAATTAATGTTTCTTTGCATCGATTTATTTGTTTTAGTGCCTATATGCCAAATTTATTTAGACTGTGCTGATGGACATTTCATGAATATAAATTAAAGAATCATAGAAGGTGTGAAAAATCAATACTATGCATTGTCAATAAGGTGCAATAAGAACAATTACTTCTAGAGATTACACCTAATGGATTTTTGTAATGAACTTGTGAGGAGTAGTTACTTAGTAGGCTTATTATTCTTAGATTTAGTGAGAATCATGTCTATAATTTAATCATCTCATTTAGAAAACTCCATTTCTTCAAAAGCTGACTAGATAAAATTTCTCATTAAGTCATCTGATTAGAAATAATTGTTTCTTTCTTGGATAGAACTTGCCATATAGCTGTCTTATGTCTACATGAAACTGCCCACACTTTAAAAGAGCACTCACTTTTGGTTTTGGATGTTTCCTTACAAGAAAACAAATTTATTGTTCATAGTGATATAATTGTTTCATAGGTGAATTTTGACAGTGAAGTTTTGCTTTCTAGTTTAGAAGAACTGAATGTATTTTTGGTACATGGAAGCTATTTCCAATATAGTATATTTCATATTTTAATGTTAGGAGCTGCAAAGATAAAGAATGACATGTTTTAATACACCTATTTATCATGTATGTCACAGTACTGTTTAATACTAATGCAATCAAATGGGTTATGAAGATCATGTAGTAGAGGAAGTTTCAAAAGTCAAATTGTCAAGGTTTTTGTGTGAATAAAATACATTATTGGGTATTTGAAGTCCTTAACATTTTTTGTGAGTTCTTCAAAAGTTCCATGGCATCTCTACAAGATGTAGCACAGTGTGAAAAATGATGTGAAAAATGAAGCTAGAATTAGCTCCAGATGTATACAGATTGTTCCGGGGTGATAATTACATTTTTCACTTTGAATTTTCCTAATTCAAAGAGGTCAACTTGGCAATCACAAAAGTGATTTATTTTGTTAAGAAGTGAACTGTCTTTTTCTACATGAAAGCTTAAGAGATATGAAATTGAATTTCAAGTCGACATTTTACAGATCCTGGGTGGGGATGGCTTGAGTTTGATTGATAATTTTTTTTGGTCTGAGATAGGGTGGGAAGCAAAAGCTACCATCTTGCTAAAATTTTAATTAATTTTTTAAGAGGAGATGGAGAGGATTGAGTGCCAAAGATCGAAAGATCAGGTCAAAAACTACTTTTTAATCACATAAATAATGGGATATGCTTATGAACTTAACATCTGCAAATTTGATTTAGAACTTTACAAATTAGTTGGTGTTAATTTCATGACAATCAGCCATGCTCTGATATTTTTCTTGAATCCATTCAAAACTTATATTCTTTTTGTGTTATTTTTAATAGGGTGTTTCACTACATTTTATTGTAAAAGAGAATTTAGAGCCTAAATTTAAGAAATGAGGAAATGATCACATTTGGTTAGCTGACAATAAAACCAAACAGATCACTATATATTTTTTTCGACTTAGATTGTAGTTTTCAGTGTCCACTCATTCACCGGTAGTTGATTAGGCACCATTTCATATTTTAGTCTATCGAAATGTTAATATTTTTTAGGCAAAATGTTATTAATTAAAGTTGGAAGCCTCTCATAATACTGAGCATTATATTTTTGAGTATAATTAATATATGAGGTTTGTAAAATTAGATTTATTCATCTGTTGAATCCCATGTAAAGTAATTCAAGAATGACTGAAGTTCCAAATATCAATTTAAATCCTCTTTATTTCTTAAAATAAAACTGCTTACATTCTTCAGGAAACTGTATGTTCTCTGATGCAGACACACAAAATTGAACAAGTTCTCAACTGTGTTTCAGGTGGTTTTTCACAAGCATGCAACTTATTTGTGTGCCAAATTTGTTGTATATGTGTATAAACCTGTTTTAAATGTATATGAATTTAAAGAAAATGTTAAATAAGTGTTTCAAATAATATTACTCCAGCATTATATAAAGTGTTTGTATCTTGTTCATTTGACATTAATATCATTTTTGAAAGACTTGGCATTGCATTCAAGGCCACTTTATAAAAGCGTTGAGTTGCTTGTCCTAATTCAGTCTGACATACATTCCAATAACACTACCTCCCTTCTTGGGTTTAAAGCTAAATTTATGACTGTGCATTGTGAAGTGCATCATTTAAAAATGGTTTCAACCCAAAACATCTAATAAATAAATAATGTGTATGGCTACTCAGTAGTAGACTTTGTAGACTAGAAATCATTCCATCGGATACTCAACAGTCCACTATCGGAGAGGGCTGTCAGATAAATCTTGTGGTAGCTGCATTCATGTCCTGTAAATCACATATTATTGTCTGAGCGTTCTGCCAGGTCATCTATTCTTTTCCCATTTATCAGAAATGCATACAGTATATAGAAAAACTAGAAGCACCATATAGTCTAGACTGGCATCCTGTCTGAGTAATTAATTAGCAGCAAAGGTTAATTTAAAATTCTATTTTAGTCTGATTATTCTTTAAAAAATTTTTCAACAAAATATGTAGATTGCTGCTGTTTTGGGAAATATTTTTTTTACATGAAGGTAATGATGTAAGGTTTGGTCATTTTTGACTTGTGTTTCTTTTTGTACCTCTGAATTATTTTAAAATTATAATAATTTATAATAAGAATGAGATAGTTCTTTTCTTATGATTATTTTATGTCAGTTTTATGTTTGAAATTTTTTTCCTTAATCTTTAGTAAAATGTTTCTTTATTTTTTGTTCTTCTATACTTTTCTCTAATCCCAAGTTTCTTCTCCATTTTGAGTGTATTTTTTCTGAATATATGATATTAATATTCTTTTTTATAGTTATGATGATTTTGTAGATGAATATTTTCAGTATGAGAAGATTATTAAAACACTTCTCTTCCACCATCCCCAAAAAACGCAAACCAGCTCTATACATGGCACAAAAGGGTCCTTTACCATTAGGCCTCTCTTAATGCCTGTACCTCATTTCTTACCACTTATTCTCAAGCCATGCTGAACTATTTAAAGATAGCCAAATATGCCCTTATATTTCTGTGTCTTGGTACATGCTTTTTCTTTCCCTAAACTGCCCCTCTTTCTAACTTGGTGATTTTTGTTAGCTGTTGCTTATCATTCAGCACTCAGCTTAATTATCTCATTCTCTGAGGATCATATCTATAGTTGGTATCTTTTTGTCTTAATTTTAGCACCCATTATAGAATTTACCACAAATTGTAAGTATAAATATGCTAATTGGTTTACTTGTTTATTGTTAGTATACTTCTTTGTTTTCTAGACTCTTATGAATGTAACAGTTATTTACGCCTTGTCCATTAATGTATTTCTGGTACCTAGCACATTATGGCTTAGTGAATATTTATGGAAAAAATGAATCAGTTAGCTAGCTCCTAGATAAATTACATTCTCTTCTGGAAAGATTTCCTTTAATCCTCTCTTACCTACAACTGTATGCCTAAATGAGGTATTGTGCAGAACACTTACCCATACTATCTTAATTTCATTCTGTATTTAAGTTGCCTGTTATCTTCCTTTCTCTTCCATGTAGACCGCAAATTTCTTGAAGACAAGCACTGTATTTTTTTTTTTTTTCTGTTGTATCCCCAGCGTCCAGTATAGTACTGTTCAACCATATAAATGTTTATATACTTGTATAATTGATAAATCAATGGTAACATAGATCATAAGTCACCATATTTTGAACTTTGCCTTTTGGTCTTTTTCATTAGGAAATATCCCCATACTTTCCTATATTAATTAGTTGTTATTATTAAATCTTCATTTTCATTAAGACAACTGATTTTATCATTACCAAATAGTGTAGTTGTGTTCATTTATGAGCAGGGCCTTTGGTTTTTCATTTTCTTTTGACTTAATCAAATTCACCTCATTTTTTTTTTTTTTTTTTAAAGACAGGGTCTTGCTCTGTTGCCCAGGCTGGAGTTCAGTGGTGCAATCATGGTCCACTGCATTCGACCTCCCAGGCTCAGGTGATCCTCCTGCTTCAGCCTCCCAAGTAGCTGGGACTACAGGCACATGCCAGTACACATGACTGATTTTTTGATTTTTTTGTAGAGATAGGGTCTCCTTATGTTTGTCAGCCTGGACCTCTTTCTTTCTTTCTTTTTTTT